AAGAGATAGGGAGAGAGAAGGGAGGGGGGGAGAGAGAGAAGGAGGGGGGGAATAAAGAGAAGAAGGAAAGAAAAAGGGGAGAGAGAGACACAAAGAAAGAGAGAAAGGATAATCAAAGTGGCTAGCCTGAGAGTCTGAGCTGTGCTAGACTGCCAGTCTAGCTCTGTATTAGATCTAGGTTTGGCCCTATGGACTCGAACCTGTTGAGTACACATGGTATACACATGTCTCATTTGATCTAGATCTAGTAGTTATTCAGGTAAACTTAAATAATGCAAGTCAGTAAGGCATCCTGTCTAGCCGTACTTATCTTAGGCCCTATTAACATTAGAAAACAGGAGTGTTTAAAATAAATGCACTGTCATTAAGGCACCTGGTTTCGTCTCAAATACAAACTTTTGGTACTGCTAAAACTAAAAATGTATTGACAATTCAGTAGACCTTTTTATGGTCAGTCTAGCCATCATATTAAGAAGAATTATAAGTACGATTTGCCCAGCTGTCTAGCCGTACTAAGTACGGCACGGCTAGCCAACCACTCTCTGCGTCAGTTCGCACGTTTACCCGGTGCAATACAGTCATTATTGCATACATTCTATGACCAGTCCCATCTTCAAATCCCACCTTCTGTTTCCCATCTCTCATTTCTTGTTTCCCATGATACTTATACCGTATCCAATTTTCCAATATATCCCATATATGCCGACTTTAGTTCTGTATGGGCGCTTCGTTTTCCTTCATCTTACGGGATGGAACCCGGTGACCGGATACAAAGTGACGAAGTATACAGACCCAGTAGGGGAACTCTTTTTTTGTGATTTCGGAAAGTTTCAACGCCCAGACCCGGTAGTGTGGGTGTGTGTGTGTGTGAAAGAGAGAGACGAGAGAGAGAGAGCAGGGGAAAGTGCTAGCAAAATGTATGACATGCCCCAGTTGGCAGGAGGGAACGAGAGAAAGATAGAATGGGAAATAGGTCGGAGTGGGGAGAAAGAAAGTGAAAGACAGAGAGACAAACAAAGAGAGAATGAGAGCGATACACAGAGACAAAGGAGAGAAAGAGAGAGAAGAGAGAGAGAGAGAGAGAGAGAGGCAGAGAAATAGAGAGGGTGACTGCTCAATTGAAATTAAATTATGACATTGTTCTTTTCTTCAAATTGTGATTCCTCCAACTCCAAAATGGAGGGAAAACGATCGTTTATCGAAAAGACATTCGCAATCTTGATCTAGATCTAGGCTAGCCTCGAAACTAGATCAATGATTTTTATGTCTGTCTGTCTAGATCTAGACTAAAGGCCATAGATCTAGAAGAACCTAGGTCTACCCTGAGCTACCGGGTCTGTATACTTTGTGACTTTGTTCCCAGTTACCGGGTCTGTATACACCCAATTTATATATATATACTCGTCACTGTCGTCGCTGACTAAAACAGGCTGACTTAAATCGGCAGTGAACGCTCCCCCTAAACGAAGCTTGAGTGCAGTGAACGTAGCCTCAACAGCACCTGCAAACTGCATTCAGGGCGCCGTGAACGTAGCCTGCCAACTACGTTTACGGTGCCGTGAATGTAGGCTGCAGACTACGTTCACGGCGCGGTGAAAGTAACCACTGCGTTTAAATATAAATATTTGGTGTCTCTATGTTTTATCCCAGGGTGAGGTGCGCTGTTATTTTTCAGTTTTGTTTTCATGGGGGGTTTCAGGGGCAAGCCTGACCTAACAAAAATATGGGGGGGGGTTCAAGATTTTACCATAATTTGATGTTTTGCAATTAGGCCTAAAAATGTTCAAACTACCGTAATTTTGTCGTGAACAGATGGATAACAGTGGCTTTCGGTCTTCCATCATGATTTTGGAAGCCATTGAGTATTATAATCTAGATATGTCGTTCGTTACGGAAGTCCTCCCATTTTATTACAGATATTCCACCATGATGAACACCCGAGACTTCGGATGAATTCCAGATTGGCGCATGACGTCCTTTCAATGTTTTATTTTCTTTTCTTGGTGCATTGCAATTATTATTTAAATAAATTATTATTAATTATGCAATTACTGCGAGGACTTTCCTTTCTTATGGCACTGGGTACCACTGTAACAAGTGGAGCTTTACGTTGTTAACATTTTGCCATCTCTCATCACAAGAAGACTCATATCGATGCCCCTGTGATCAGACCTCATTAGTGACAATTTTTTGCAAAATTGACTTTTTCACACCTTCACATTCTACTGCTTACAGTGCACACACGCCAACAGAAGGTTTACTAGAAAAAACTGCATGCATAATTTGTGTCTTTTATTGCGTCGGTGGCCTAGTGGTTAGACTTCCGGACTCGTAATCGTGAGGTTGCGGGGTCGGGGGTTCGAGCCGCGGACCCGACATTGTGTCCTTGGAAAGGCACTTTACACAAATTTTCCTCACTTCACCCGGGTGGGAATGGGTACCCGGCCTTAGACAGCGAAAAATCTTGTTAAAATTAGTGCCTATAAATGGCCACTTGCACTGTATGCTTCCCAGGAAGTTGAGGTTGTTTCAGAATGCTCTCAGGTCTGCTGGGGTAATAGTATAATGTGAAGAGCATACAGAGCCTGCTGTTGAGCGGGGATTTACGCTATACAAATGCTATTGTTATTAAACGAAACTCGTAAACGTCGTAAGTCCACCCCTCCCAAAAGCGGTTCAGAACTCGCAAGCGCCATCCCGCCGCTTACAAGTTTTGATTACAACTGAGCTCGGTGATTCGAAATGTGTCATGGACACTTAGGAGTGGTCAAAGCAACCTCTATCTCTACCTTTTGTTCCTGATTTACCATGTTTTCCAGTTCGGACATGTTTTGTATCAGTCACAATCTCTGTTGAACCTGCTTCGCTACTGACATCTGCTTCACTACATCCATCTGCGCTCCTTTTAATGGTCAATCCTGAACTGTGTTCTCTGTCTGGTTCACCACGTTGTCCAATGTGATCCCCCTATATATGTCACAAACCGCTGACTCGGCACCACCCGTTGCAGAGCCTGTATTAGCTCTGAAACCCCTCTTATCAAATCTATGTGTACAGTCACTTCATGTCTCACTCGAGGTCGACCCTGCATCACCTTTCTGGTCAGATTCCCCTGATCTGTCTGCTCATGTGCCACCCATTGTGGAAGCAACGTTGTATTCTTAGCCTGGTTTTCTATTTTATAGCTCTAAACAATTGAACACTGCATCAAACATAGTCAAACGTGGCATAATTCAGTGGAATCAGAAGTTTGTCAATATTTGGGCATGTTGAGTTAATGGTATCATCTTAAAGCTTGTTCATTTGTCTTGCATTCCATGAGAAACAATACCCATCTATCTTGAATAGAAGTCGAGGTATTTCCGATTGAAGAACGTGGGGGTCACCTGGTGTCAGAGGTAAAATTATTGCGAAAATGACCACCAAAGTCTGTTCCATAGCATAGCTTGATTGAGAGTCCTTGGGAAATGAAAAGTTCATTTTTGTGCCTATAATCTATCATCTTTTTGTTACATAATACTATATTATAAAATATATGCCATTGTTCACGTAATTTGTTGGATAAAAATGAACAAGAAAAGTGTTCAATATACCTGTGCTTAGGATGAGGCAAAGTAAAATAATATTATAATACCACTGATAGTGTGTATGAAAACACTTTCACAGTCTTTAGTTCTGAATTCAGAATGATAGTTTTTAATGCTTCAGCACAACAAATTATTATTAATTATAAAGGTTTTCAACAAGAATCAAAAAACCGAACTGGCTGTTCAATGAACTTCTACAAATTGCATGTAAGTGGACATTATCTATAACAACAGCCCAAATAGAAAAGCGTAGTAGGGAAAGTTCAGAAACAAGAAGAAAGTTCTTCTCCAGACTCTCGTAACACACTGAAATTTTAGAATCTGTGGATAATGCTGACCGATAATAAATGACTTTGGTTTTCGATGAGAACTGTTTTGTTCAACCTTTAAACTGAAAGGGAAAATTGTCGCTTTGGAAAAATAATGATCGAAGTGGTAGAATCTAATGATATTCAATTCTTCTTCAAATTTTTGTATGAATTTACTGCAGTATGGCAGAATGGTTTCTATAAATCTTAATCTTTATATAATATCACATATTATCACATAATATGTGTGTGTAAATATCCTGGCCGAGTGGTTTAAGTAGATTTCTACTCTCAACTGTTTTAAAATTCTACCCCTTCAATGCCGTTATATTGACATACACATGCATGTCGTGGAAGTGCTCAGTTTTCTTTACATGTCAAAGTAGGCCTACTATAGAAAGTAGAAACATGTGTGTATGGTTGAAAGGGGTAAAAGGTATGTTTTGTAATTTTGAAATTCTGTACCGTGATTATTATAACTCAGTTTCCTGTGTGTATAATTAAAATATTCCTGCACTCTTCCCTCCTTATTTCTAAAACGGCCATCTGCTCCTGTTTCAGATCCTTGTGCTGCTTTCCTTTTTCAAGAAGAATGCTGCACCAACGAGACAGCTCAAGCCAGTAACTGCTCCTTTTGTAATCTGACAGCAGAGGGATCTACGCAGTGTAAGTAGTCTGGTTTCCCTGCCCAATGAATTGTGTGGGTTTTTGCAAGTTATTTGAAATGTGGATTTTTGTACAGGTACAATATGTTTAAAAATGTGAGTTTTTGTAAGATGCTTAGAGTAAGAGTAATTATTCAGACCTGACAAGTCCGCCAATAAAATCGGAACTTTAGGGGTAGGGGTGGGGGTTCCTATGGAAGAAACAAGATCGGGTTTTCGTAAGGTCCATTATAAAGAAAAATATCCTTTTCTATCAGTTTGCAATTGTAAGTAAACTAGATGATGGTGAAAATACACCGGTTTATTTGTGTTATTGCAATATTTTCATGACTTTTCATGAATGATGTGAAATATGCATTTTTATCACGTTTATTTGTGTGTATTTGCAAACATGTCTATTAAATTTGCTATGATTGGTTCATAATGTAATCTGAGTCTACTTGGGTTCTGGATACTGATATTTTTTTGGGAAAGATTCTGAGGAAAACTCCTATTTTTGGTCGTGGTGGGTTTGGCAGGTGTGGTTCTTACTTTTTGTTTTTCACTCTCAACACGTGAATCTTGATGAGCTAAAGCAAATCTCAATATTACCCGTGGCTTCAATATAAACTAGCTCTGTGTGTCGGGAGTGTGGGTTTGGTGGGAATGGGGGGGGGGGGGGGGGGGGGGGGGGGTGTAGTTGCAGGTTTTGCTTTTGTTTTAATTTCAAAAGGTAAACCAGCGAAGTGGAAACAACAAACTGTTGGGTAAAAAGAAAACCTGATAAAGGTGCACAGTCAATGGAATCCTGTTCAGTTTTGAAGTAACTTTTACAGGTAGGTGCCATTTTTGTCACACAGACCAGCACCTGTGTTATAATGATAATGGTTAGGCACTTGCTGCTGCATGCAGAAGCTGAGTTCGATTCCCTTGCTTGCAGCGAGAATTTTGATGAAATATCTCCATTTTTCTGCTGAGTTGTTGTATCCCTCTCAGCTCGGAGGGTTGTAGCGGGCTTCCTAAATGAACTAAATTGTCTCGATGGAGGCGTAAAAACACCAAATTATAAAATGTAGAATGACACAAGTGTTATTGCTGACTCTTGATTCTTTGTTAACTCCAGTTGAGGGACTCAGGAAGGTATTTCACAGCTTCTACGTGACATCAAAGTTAAGTGTCAGTGCGGCCCTCTCCCCAAGTCAAATGTGGAAGAGGTATATTAATTTAATATAAGAGGAAGCAAGCTGCAATGCCAGGTCTTTTACTGCAAGGAGTAGAGAAAAGAAGCCTAGATGGGCTAAAGAAGTATCCATATTCTGAACTGCTATTCCATAACAATTGAGGTTAAAAAATATACTTAACGCCTTCTTTTTTTTTTTCTTCTTTTTTTTTGAAGACTACTAGATGCGACCCAGGCTGTCCCAGATTCTTTATCTCCAGCGGCCCTCGTGTAGTTTGAGTCCCCTGGGATAACATTTCGACTGTTTGGTGTGAGACGCCCCCCCCCCCGCCCCCATATATACTACGCCATTTTAAAAAGTGACGTATGACGGCGTCTTACACTGAGCAAATGCATTCTTGGCGGGTGCCCTGGTGTGGTTTGCTCCTTCTTTCCTATCAAACATCTATCGTCTTTATCTCTCCTCTTATGTGTATGTTACTCTTTAGTAACACATCTATTCTTCGGCACTTTATATGACCCTATTGTGTTGCAGATGCCATGAAACGCTTACTAAAACTTAAAAAACACTGTGAGCAGTCGATTTATTTTGTGCTGATGAAGGGTCAATGACGTCTTTTATGTTTTCCATATATGTTTCTCCCCAGCAAACTGTTCTTCATCCTGTGAGGCCTCAGCAAAGGATCTTTGCTGTGAGTATACATCAACAACTGCTTGTATGTCACTTATGCTTGAAGCGCACCTCTAGCTTAGTTGGTATCATGCCGGGCTAAGGAGTGGATGGCCTGGGTTTGATTCCCAGGCTGGGTGTTGTTGAACTCTGGTTGTTTTCGTGGAGTTTTCAAGGCTTTCAAATCCATTTGGTGGCTGGGTCCTATCGAAGACGGATGTTAAATGTGGAGGTCCTACCTCTTAAATAAGCTGGTACTAATAGTCAGTGTTGATAGGGGCGTTAATCCCAAACACTTACTTTTACTCTCCTAGAAGCAGATTGTGGGAGGGTGCCAGTAGTAGGCCCTTCTTCTTTTCTTTCCCTTTGTTGTTTCTGTCTGTCTGTCTTGCTAAACCCTTGTACTAAATGGCCGTTATTACGTCAGTGTGCTTCTCTTTACTCAAACAAAGATACATTAGCTAGATATTAGCAAGGAGTCCTACTTTTAGTATTGTCTAACTTGCTTTTAAATTGCTTTTCTTTACTATACTCAAAGTGATGACCGATCCCCCCTCCAAAAAATAAAAATTGGTTAATTTGGATGGTTTTTGGGGTGCTCATCTTGTATAGTAGTATAATAGTTTAAAAGTCATAAAGTAGTGTGACTCGTAGATAAAGGGGTTGTCTGTGGATGATAGATTTCCACTGAGACGCAGTACACATCTCTTGGGTTTCTCTTTCTGCCCCTGCTGCAGCTACACTGACAGCATATTTTGACTCGCATGTGATTTATCATGTTCGTTTTGCAAATTTTGCATTGTTTTGTTTTTGGTACCACATTCGATTTTTCTTTTCTGTCTTTCCCACCCCCACCCCCATTCCAATTTATAGTAAATATATTGTCAGCTTTTTGTGTACATATGAGTTTAAGATGAAGGATGAATGTGTCAACTTTTTTGTTACGACTTTCACTTTATATGTGCAAATGCGCTGGTGTTCTGTAATTTATGCAAATGCGTTATCAATGTTTCCTAATGGTTCTATAATGCTGCCGCACTAAGCCTTTTCTTTGAAATTTTTGCTATTGAAAGGTGAAGACTGCTGGTGTATCTTCCCTATCATGAAAGAAATTTAATTTGTTTGTGTTTTTTTAAACAGAAAAATTCAAGATTATATTTTAGTGTTTCAAAATTTTGTGCAGATGTGAAAAGAAATATGTGGAAAAAAAAAAGATGTGACAACTTCTGTGATCACTTGCTTCAGGTATTAATAGGGAAGGGAGGAAGTACATTTTTAAATTAAAAGAAAAATGGGGGGGGGGGGGAGATTTTTTAAAAAGGAAATGGCTTTATTCCCATTCAATCCTGTTCTAATCCTGGCTTATGCTGTTATTTCAGTGGTTCCTGAACCAGTTGTAGGTAAGTCATGTCTGTATTGTATAAACTACAATTTCTCTGAGAGAAAGGGTGTGCGAATCCGGTATATTGGAATCGAATCTGATTTTTTACCCTGTGTGTTTGTTCCAATCCAACACTTTCCTTGTTATGCAGCTGCCTGACTTCTTGAGACTGTGTCCAATCCATCGCTACCACCTTCTTCCCACCTTATCTCTGTCTGGGCTCTGTCTTGTTTTCCTCAACACTCCCTCGTTGGTGACCCTGTCGGTCCATCTGATCCTTAGTAACTTCCTGAGACACTTGTTCAAGAAAATTTGGATTCTCTTTTGTGCAAGTTTGAGATGTGTTCCATGTATGACATCCATACAATAGGACTGACTTCACATTTGAGCTGAAAATAGAGGCTAAAGACTCTAGTGGATTTGAGTGCTCTCACACCCCTGTTAATTGATTTATAACAGCAAGTCTGATGTCATCCAACGACATTTGATTCGATATAGATACCTCTGATCACGTGTGTCACTCCTTCACTGAGAGAAACACAAGAGTTCCTGATATATGAAGCTTGCCCTGTTAATTACATTAACACTAACACATTTATATGAGCAGAACTTCATACTGTCTCAGTACAACTGGTGTAAATTCACTCTATGAACGTAAGAATACTATGAATAAGAAGGACTAACTATCAAGATGGCATTTCATGAGGTATGTTTTTACATAAATTTTCAATTTTCTGACTTTTGTTTCCTTCAAATGCTTGGGAGAGAGTTCCAGAATAGATAGTTAGATGAGAAAAAGGGCCTCCCAGGGAGTTGTTGACCTCCGTTCCCAGGTGTTCTCATACGAGACTGATCTCCCGATGTTTAAGATGAGGTTGCTTAGATACAAGGGGACTTTATTGTTCACACATTTATGGCAAAGGACAGCAATGTTGGTAGTAATTCTCTCTCTTTCTGGGAGGCAAAGGAGTTTTTATTTTAAAATTGGGGCGATAAAATGAGTTACTTCTCATTTCACAGATTTTTACTATAAAGAATAAGATGCATCAGATTAATATGTTTAGTGGGGTTTTTTTTTTCAATTTTTAGGTATGAAATGATTAAAAGGCATATTAAACTTGAAAAAAATGGCATCAGTTGAAAACCTACAAATGTGACTCATGTGTTGATTTCGGGCCAATGTCTCCATTGGCGAATTTCAAGAATTAACTTGTGTTATCAGACCACTTCACATGGTCGTTCTTTCTCTTTTTGAGCATGATTCTCAGTAGGTGGTTGGCGTTTGCTCTGGTGTGGTTTGCTTCTTCTTTCCTATCAAGCATCTATCGTCCTTATCTCCCCTCCTTCTTTTTTATGTTTGTTACTCTCTTGTAACTCCTCTAGTCTTCTGGCGCCCATATGACCTTATGCAGTTGCGAGCGCCGTAAAACCTCTACTAAAACTAAACTATTAAAAAGACACAATTCTTGAGATTTGCTTTTGAATGAGCTGTAGTTTCAAGATAGTTGAGTTCAGGATGTTTGCTAAAAGAGAGTTGCAGTAATCCATGCGGGAGGGAGAACACAAAAGATGAAATGAGAGTTTTTAATTAGCATTCATTCAAAAAATCAGACAATTGCCCAAGTCTACACAGCTCACAGTAGAGTACTTTGCATAAATGAAAAATGTGATGGTCCAGAGGTCATTTTGAGGAGATCGTATAAGCATCCCTAGATTTTTCCAGGAGAGTAATATACAGGGTGATCCCAAAAGAAACTGTACAACTTAAAAAAAAAATATTTTCCTCCTCACTGAAGTTTTTCGCTTTAAATTTGTACATAACATTTGGAAGTCAAAAGAAATTTGTTTGATATTCATTTTAGAAAAATCCACAGAAGAGTTTTGTTTTACACAGCGCATAAAAAAACAACCCATTTTCAGCTAAGTCCCCGTTTTTGTAGCGTGGCGCATTAGTTCGCATAAGGCCTACCACTAAATAACCCAACGATTGAGCCATATTGCATACTACAGTAGTCTAACAGGCCAACAGAAGTTTGCAGATAGTTTTTCATAAGTTTCCGTTGCCTGCTGTGATCATGGTTAAGATTAGTAAAGAGCAAAGAGCTTTTTGTATTGAACATTTCCTCACCACCAACTCATATCATAAGTTTCACACAAGGTACAGAAATAATGTTAAAGTGCCCCTAAGGCCTTCTTTGATGTCAAGGGTGGAAATGGTTCCTCAGTGCCTGTAGAGAATCAGAACAAAAAATTCCCAGACAAAACAACCATTTCAGGTCGAACACACACCGTTTGACGTCACCGGGGTGCAGAATTCAGTAGACGAGCCCCATGAGACATCTGTCCGTAGACGATGTCTGCAGCAATGACATTCCTTCATCTCAACTGTCCGCATTCTCAGGGCAGATCTTCATCTACGACTGTACCATTTTCCCGTTCGTGAAACTATTAGAGGATAAACAGTGTGTTCATGATTCCTCGATCGTCTTGAAAAACGTGGACATTTCCTCTATGACATTTTGGTTCCTTGGCAAAGCCCATATTCACCTTTCAGGTTATATGAACTCCACAAATGCTGTCTATTTGGACAACCTCACCCCTCCCCCTATTGTCTCTAGAAGCAGCTCCATACTGTATGGTGTACAGTGTATGTGGCTTTCGGTACTCATGGTTGAATGGATTCTTGTGTTAGGCCACTTTGAACATTACAAACGGCGCATTAAAATGTGTCGAGTCCAAAGGAGGACATAGAGACCGTTTGTTCTCGGAATTCTAGAATTTAAAAAATATTTTTAAACTCTGTAGGAGAAAAGAAATATTGTTTAGAGTTTACAGGGACGAAAAATTTAGAATTTTAAAGTAAAAGGAAGGGAAAAAATCAAACCTATCATTTTATGACTTCCCTTACAAGATCTTTTAAATTGGTGCATTTTGCATCTTTGGGTGGTTTTTATAAAAGCCATTTCCGTTTTTTAAAATAAGCTTCTTCTTTGTGAAGTTTATGTCAAACAAATTCCTTTTGAATGAATTATATCTTCCAAATTACAACATTCTAGTGCCAGTCTATCACCGGCCAAGTTGTGAGTGGTAACGGAAGCAGAAGTAAATCTTGATATTCCCGATTGAGTCACGGTGTCGCACGCTTCCGCATGCCACCATAGCTGCCTGTTCGCGTGAAACGTACTGTCGGACCAGGAAAAGCCGTATATCACTATCGTGACCGGCAAAAAATAACTTGCTGACAATATCGAAATTTGTTTTCAAATATTCCAGACCTTTATACATGTATATTTTCCTGGGTCTTCCCGACTTTTTCTCGGGGTAATTTACAGATTTCCTCATCAAACTCCCGGGTCTCGGCGATTTTTATCAAATTCCCGAGGCCTGGCTAGTCACCCTGTTTTTACTAGGTACCTAGTTTCTGATCAGTCCGACGGATCTCCAACCAGATTATGATGGGGACTATAAGCAGACAGACTCTGGGATGGATCCTGAAGGGGAGGGGGGGGAGCAGAGATGGACCTGTTCCGACTGCAGTGACCCCAACATAGTGGACAAGAGAACAAGAGAACCTAGTTTCTGGCTCGTGTTTTCGGCTATTCAAATTTTTAAAACACTAGGTACTTATTTTTTCGGGGTTTTTTTAATGAATGGTACCCAGCCCTACCGAAAGTACTGGTGTCGGCCGTCGGCAGATATATAATATATTTTTTTAACTGGATATTTGTGGCACACCGACGAAATAAAAATGACTATGGAAGACTTGCCGGGCCAGTGTAGCCGGAGGGAGGCCCAGGGATGAGTTCAAGTAGCCGGAAATTCCGGCAGGAGCCGGAAAACTTTCACCCCTGCTGCTTACACTGTATGCTTCCTGGGAAGCTGAGAATGTATTTGAGTGTTCAAGGGTCTGCTGGGGTAATGATATGGTGTAAAGCCCTTTGAGCTTGCTGTCCAGTAGGGATATGTGCTATACAAACGCCATGTATTGTTATTTTCTAAAATTATTATTATTATTATTATCATTATTAGGGTGTTATTATTATTATTATTATTATTATCATAATTATTATCTTTATTATGATTATTGTTATTATCAGTGTCATCATCATCATTATTATTATTGTTATTGTTATTATTATTATTATTATCTTCATCACTATCATTAGTATTATCATCATCATTGTCTTTTGTGTTAATCATTATTATCGTCTTTATTTTTATCATTATTATTTTGTTTCTCAGGGTGCTCAAGTTTCAATGAAACACAAGCCTGCTGCTCCGCCAACTGTTCTTTCTGTGTGACCGAGGGGGGAGCTGGAGGTAGGATGGATGTTTTTTTAAAAATTCATTTGTGTGGCATGGAGGTGAATTCAGGTGTTCCTCAAAATAATAAAATTGAAGAAACCAACATTTTTCCAACCATTGTTGGGCAGTTTTCATTTTACCAATCAAATATTTTTCTTTCTGGTCCAGCACCTTTTATGTGCTATCAAAAATACATTTCTGAGGGGATTTTACTGAAAACCGTTGATCAAAGACATAAAAAATGTAAATTCAAGGAACAAAAATTTTGGAAGTCACCAAATGTTGGCAACCATTTCTCCTTTAGTTTACCTCTGACACCAAGTGACCCCGGCCTCCCTCCGTTGTAAATATCTTAACTTCATTTAAGATCAGTGGATTATTTTTATTTTTAAAAATCAAAAGCAAGACTAATGGGCAAGCTATAAGATGATAGCAATAACTTTGTATCCCCAAACATTGATGAGCACCTGATCCCACCATGTCAGGAAATAGAATGAATATTGCCCGTCTGAACTGTGCTGAAGTGTTTAAAATCCTAGTTCTATACAATATTTACACCGTTGGACACAAGAGTGCAAACACACATGCCATTTTGTAATTTGGTTTCTTCTTTTTTATGTTTGTTACTCTCTTGTAAATGTAACGCCTCTAATCTTCTGGTGCTCATATGACCTTATGCAGTTGCGAGTGCCGTAAAACCTCTACTAAAACTTTAAAAAACATTATCGATACTTGGCCGTGTGAGCTCACTATTTAAGACATTCAACTACCACAGTCGAATGGGTTTTTTTCTTATGCATGATAAGTCCATCCGCTGTTCAACCTTCGCTAACTGTTCACAGCGCCAGTCGTTGTGAACTGTTCACAGCGCCAGTCGTTGTGCGCGCATGTTTTCTTGCACATGGTGCAATGTGATGTCCTCACGTCACCATTCATAACGCTTCGAATTTTGAATTGGGGAAAGGGAGCTCGTTGCGACAGCTAATTTCATGGAAAACAACATTCGCTGTGCTTCAAGAATGATGTGCCCTTGCTTGAGTCGTTCATGGTGTGATGAGTGAATATTGAATAGTGTTGGGGCTGTGTCCACTTTGCAGCACTTAACTTGCACAATAGAAAACTAATATCCCATTTGCGGCACTACATATAAGCAATATGGGGAAAAATTTACCATTTGCGGCACTACATATAAGCAATATGGGGAAAAATTTACCATTTGCGGCACTACATATAAGCAATATGGGGGAAAATTTACCATTTGCGGCACTACTCATGCGAATCACTCAGGCGAGACTATGTGAATTTTCAGTACACAGCACTGTGTGAACTCACAACAAACTCTCTCTCTCTCACACACACACTCTCTCTCTCTCTCTTTCTCTCTCTGTGCATGCCGTTTAGTCAAGTAGTGCGTATGTAGTGTGTATGCTATTGTGTACAGGTGTGTAAGAGATTTTGAAATGAGTCAGTCCCAAGCCTGTAACGCAGAGGGGAAATGTTTCAATGTAGGGCATATTCGATAGCGAATATTGAATGTATAAATATCGCAGTGCTGCAAATGTCTTATCAACATTTTGAATAAAACAAGTTGTGCCGCAATTGTTCTATGAAGAAAATTATCAAAAATCACTTGTGCCGCAAATGTACTATTTTAAAATTGGAGTGCAGCAAATGGAAAGCTCCCAGTAATGGATACTCTTTAGAGACATGTTTTATAACTCTCTTTTGTTCCTCTTATAACTGTCTCGTAACCCATCAAGTACAGAGTATTTCTGTATATATCTCAATTATTTTAAATATAATCTATTCTAATTTTACTTAGGTTTATGAAAAATGAGACAAAGATCAATTATCTGTAAAAACAAATATAAAAAAATTACACATCATTCAAATGGCTCTGCCATGCCTCGAATAGCTGTGAATAGTGCAAAAATCTTTAATGTTGAATAGTTGAGTCGAACGGGCACGGCTCTAGTTCTCTGGTGTTATCTCATGGTCTCGCTGTGTGCAGCTTGATATCCAAAGTTATCTGTTCTAATCTCCTGTGTGAATCTATCTTATTTTTCAGTCTGTAATGACCAAGGTACCTGTGATGATCCAACTTCAGATAACTGCAGTAAGTATTCTGGTTTTGGGTGGTTAGTGGGTGCTCTGGTATGGTGTGTGTCTTTCTTTTCTGTCCGACATCTATAATGCTACTGACTGAAGTTGTCTTTAAGCCATTCTCAAAGGGGGGATATTAACATGTTCTTATGCACAGAAGAATTGTGGATGGGCTTATTTATCAATGTCATGCTCATAGTGTGCCAGAACAACATAGTGGGAGCTGCTGCTTTTTCTTTTCTCATCCTTACTATCATCATTTTCCTCTACTTCTTTTGTATGTTTGTCACTGTCTTGTGAACTGCTATTTTCAGGATGCCTTCATAGTCAGGCAGACTTTGTGCTGTTGAGGCTAGAGAGGTGAGCAGAGTAAGCCTGATTCCCCATTCGGACTTCTCTGTTAACATCCACGCCTTGGCGCTCATATGACCTTATGCTGTTGCGAGCGCCGTAAACCCTTACTAAAACTAAAGATGTCTATCGTCCTTATCTTTCCTACTCCTTTATATTTTTGTGTCTGTAACTGTCTTGTAACACTTCTAATCTTTTTCACTTATATAACCTAATTGTGTTACAAGTGCCATAAAAATGCTCACAAAAAACCCTCCAACAAAACTATTCGGGTTTTTATCCCTCTTATTCTGTATGGTAGCATTGATTGATTGTAACCGGGTGCTTAACTTCCCTCTGTTGTCTCTGTCTGTTTGTCTCACTTTTTCCCAGCACTTAATGACCGACCCCCTGGGGCAGTGCCACTGTAGTGTCTTTAGGCCATTCCCAAAGGGGGGACATTTCTCGTTCAAGCACAGTAGAATTGTAAATGGGCTGATTCATGTCACGCTCATAACTGTGCCTGATCTACAACAGGGAACTGCTGCATTTTCTTTCCTAATCCTTACTATTGTCATTTTTCCTCTACTTCTTTTGTATGTTTGTCACTCTCTTGTGACCTGCTATTTCCGGGATGCCTTGATAGTTGAAGCAGACCTTTTGTGCTGTTGAAGCGCTAGAAAGGTGAGCAGAGTAAGTCTGATTCCCTGTAAAGACTTCTCTGTTGACACCCACCCCTTGGCGCTCATATGACCTTATGCAGTTGCGAGCGCCATAAAACTCTCTACTATAATAATAATAATAATAACTTAATGACCGTTGTTGTGTCAATGTGCTTCTCTTTACTCAACAAAACAGCAGACAAAATCGATTGGAATGACTATTTGTTTGTTTGCATCTGTGTATATAATTATGTGTGTGGTGTGTGTGGGTGAGTGTGTGTTTGTGAATGTGTGTGTGTGTGTCTGCTGACAAGTGCATATGTATTTATACATTTACCATGCCATGGCAAATTTCTCTTTGTTGAGATCAATATTCTCTGGGTGGTTAGCGGGTGCTCTAGTGTGGTTCGCTCCATATTTCTTATAAAACATTTAGTTTTATGTCTCCTCCTTCGCCTCTAAAGCCCCCCCCCCCCCCCCCCCCCCGTCTCCCAGGGCAGTGCTACTGACCAAAGTGCTACTGAGTCTAACTGAAGTGTCCATAGGCCTTTCCCAAAGGGGGGATATTAACATGTTCTTATGCACAGTAGAATTGGAAATGGGCTGATTTATCAGTGTCATGCTCCTACTGTGCTGGAACAAACTACATAGGAGGAACTGCTGCTTTTTCTTTCCACATCTTTACAATCGACTATCGTCATTTTTCTTCTACTATGTTTTGTCACTCTCTTGTGAACTGCTATTTCGCGTGTGTCTGGATAGTCGAAGCAAACTTTGTGCTGTTGAGGTTAGAGAGGTGAGCAGGGCAAGTCTGATCCCCCGTTTGGACTTCTCTGTTGACATTTACCTCTTAGCGCTCATATGACCTTGTACAGTTGCGAGCGCCGCAGAAACCGTACTAAAACTAAAACTAAACTTCGCCTCTAATGTTCAGCACTGATATGACCTATTTTATGATGCAAGTTCTGTGAAACTCTTACTAAAAAATTTTTTTAAGGAGATCAGTAAAGTTATCTTATCTCATGCCAACATTGCTGTACTCAATACAGCAGGCTGTCTGAGTTCTATCGTATGGGTGGTTGGCAGGTGGTCTAAAGTGGTTTGCTCCTTTTCTTTCAAGCATAAATTTATTCTCCATATCTCTCCTTTTTCTCCTATGTTACTCTCTAGCTACACTTCTAATCTCTAGCTCTTGTATGACCTATTTGTGTCTTTAAAAAAAAGTAGGAAGTGAAAAAGTCCAAGGCAGCACCATAGCAAAAAGTAAAGGTATGAGAGAAACATGGGGCTGCACTTACACATGATTTAAGTGGGTGGTTCACGGGTGCTCTGGTGCTCCTTCTTTCCTATCAAACCTCTATCATCCTTATCTCTCCTCCTGTTTGTGTTTGTTACTCTATTGCAACATTTGTAATCTTCGGCACTCACATGGCCTTATTGTGTCGCAAGAGTTGTAAAAGTCACCGGCGTCTGTAGTGTAGCAGTTAGGCGCTTTCCCTGTTGCACTCAGGACACCTGTGTTTGAGTCCTGAGTGGGGAGAATTGGTATTTAGTAATCTCGGTCTTGCTGCTGGGATGTTGTATACCTCTCAGCCCGGATTGGCCCAGACAGGAAGCCCACCTCCTAAATGATCTAAGTTGTGTCGATGGGGTTATAAAAACACCTTCATTAAAAATATATTTGAAAATTACTCATTAGTCTTGTTGATTCCCCAGCTGCCCCTGTGCTGACAACCCCTGCCAGTCCAACTGGTGAGTAGATTTTTGCTTGTCAGACAACATTCAGTTACATACATAATATTGTGAGGCGTCATGGTGAAATTGGGCGCTTGTTTAAACAATACAATAAAATCGAAGGTATCAGCATTTTTCTGCCGGTTTGGCAATTTTTATAGATTTTTTTTAGGTGTTTTTGGCTCAACACCTTTTGTATTAATTTCAAAAACATTGATTAAAGGCACAACCCTTTGAACCCTTGCCATCTGTAGACCAGTTGCGCGCAAAACTGTCCGTATGCCTAGCCACTGGTACAACGGTGAGTGAGACCCTATCTCCAAACCAGCCCGTGTGGGACGAAACGCACACGTAAAACAGTGTTTACTACACAAGATCTTATTGACTATTTTGAAGATCTTTCTGAATTAGATGCTGGTAATGACGAGGACTACCCTGGGTGGGATATGGAAAGTGATTGTGGTGATCTTGTGAATGTTAGTAATATATTGCTCAGTAGCTTGGGCAGAGGGGCACAGTAGCCTCAGGAGGGCAGGGCTCACAACGTTAAAGGCTTCTCTGTTAAGGAGAAACAGCTCGTCCCAGCACAAGTGGACAAAGAAATCAAAGTCAAATACCCACGTCTGGAAATCTGAGCGTCCGTGAATCCAACACGCATGCTGACATGGCATTATGAAATTTTTTTTCAGAAGGCAACACCACGATTGTGACCACTACGACCGCCAACTCTACCGCTGAGACGACATCGACCCAGAGCACTGGGGGAGATTCCGGCGGCCAGAAGTTTGACGGAGCTTCCTTCATCGGCGGCATCATCCTCTGTGGGGGCGTGGTCGCCCTCATCTTTTTCGGCATCAAGTTTTACAAGGCACGCAAAGAGCAAAACTATCATACTCTGTAATCATGTACTGATGGAGCTTTTTTTTGGTGAAAAAATTGTTTTTCCTTTATTCCTTTGTAATTTAGCCTGTCTTGTTTAAGATTGGTACAGATATTTGTTATTGTTTCTTTCAGTATTTTAGTCGCCATCATGGTATGGATGAGTGCCTTCACGAGTAGCTCCCCCTTGCATAAATAATATGAATATTCTTTTCTGTTTTTTTTAGATTTAGTCTGGAATGTATGCTCTTAAGGATTGTTCTTTGTAGTTGGTTAGTGCTTCGCGATGTTAGTGTACGCAAACTGAAGAAATATTTTTGTCACGTCCTGTGTCTTGTGCTGTGAATAGCTGCTCTGACATAGTTGTATGGCCTTTATCTTGTTTTTTCCGTTATTCCAATAGAGTCAAAACTCTCCCGTTTACCCTGACAGACAAGATGGAAGATACTTGTGTCGTTTCGGGCATGAAAACACCTACGTTTAAAAGAATGTTTTTAAAAAAAACATTTGCACCCTGTCCTGTACTACTTGACTTTCGATGTAGTTTGGAAACCGCTGTTGAAACCTGTACTAATGCCTTCATGTACATGAGGTGACATCAGTTCCCGGTTACTGTGTTGACTGATGACTGTTTGTTCACTATTGCTTGTGATGTTTTTGATTTGTACTTAGCATTGGTGTCGGAGACTTATCATTCTTGTTTCTACTTAGTGACTTGGTCTTTCTTCGTATTCCCTCCTTTTCTGGTGGGTCTAATAAAGGGGGGTCTTAAACTCAAGGCCCGCAGGATAATATTTTGCCGCATCTATTTGACACTTATGTTTAGTATTACTGTGGCTCACCTGTTTTTCTCTCACATACCTCTTTCCCAAGAAGTTTATGATCTGAAGAACTGTTCATTTTCTAAACTGCTGTTAATAAAGCTTGAAAAGATCAATTCATGGCACTTCAAAAAACTGCATGAAGCCTTTATTTGTGTGGAGTACACGATGCTGTCCAAACACACCCGACTCTCTCCTGCGTCCCCCACGGGTAATTTCCCGAGTTTGAGATCTCTTGTCTAATGTGTTACAAAGCTGCTGCCAACCAGTACATTATATAACGTATAAATTTAATACGCTTTTGAGCGTCTGAGTATGGAAGTCCATTTTCACATGGAAATATATTCTCTATTTACTAGAGTTGCTCTTCACGTACTTGCTGATGCTGATAAAAAAATGTGGACCTTCAGGATCGAATTTGTGAGTGAAAATAAGAGCAAAGTCCATAAATCAATTGGAAAGATCCTTTATGTAGGTCTACTTCGAGCAGCTTGAATTTATTGAATGCCAGAAATTGTGTTTGAAGGATTTGGAGGGCGGTTACTTGGCCTATGCCCACCATATTGACCCACATTGGGGTAGAATCTGGTGGGGGGGTTTTTTGGTTTTGGAAAGTTGGCAGCTATGGTATTGTGATAGTAGGGCCTCATTTGGTGCTTTGATCTGTGGTGTATCGGTCAGGACCAGACTGGAAAAGCCCAAGGAGAAAAGTGTTCATGATGTGAGACAGAGCGGGTTGTTGTTCTAGCTTTCTCCGCAGTTTTTATATCTATGATTGGTTTGAGAACTCTGGAATTTCTCTTGATTGTTGAAAGAATGTTTTTCTTCCTTTTTGAAGGTCTTAAAACAAATGCCTTTGAAATTGTTCAAACCACTGGCTCTATTGATTGCCGTGGTGTGTTTTCTGTTCTTGAAGGAAACAGCAGGGTCCATATTCCATTGATGCCTTTTGAAGTTTTTTAAGCAAAGGTATGGAAATAGTACTTACATGATATTTGCTATTGTTTTTTTTTGTTTTTTCTGTCTTTAAAGGTTGTGTTCATGTCTTCATTTGCTATGGTCTTTTTTTGTCTGTCCACACAGTTTGATCAAATCTGTTGTTTCATCTGCGCACGTGTCAAGTTGATTAGATCCTATCAGAGATAGTTTTTTTTTTTTTTTTTTGTCTGAAACTACACACCTCTGTTAGATTCTTGTTATCAGAACTTGTTAACTTCTCTGTGTTGAAGAGGTTGTTTAACCTGGAACATATGATACCAGATCTCAATACGTTTGTGCACACTGTATTTGTTTCAGAGCTGGTAAACACTGGATATACCTGCACAGTGCTAATAGAATCTAAACAAATAAATGTGTGCTCACGCTTGTGTTTATTGAAAAGATTACAGGCTCTTTTGTAATACATTTAAAATAAGGTGCAATATCTTTCAATGTTTAGAGTTGGTATGCAATTTTTCGGGGTACTTTGTGAGGAGGATGGAATCCCTCAGTGGTATTTGATCTGTGCTAAATGAAGGTTCTACTTCTTTACTCTCCCTCCGTTGGGTGTCTGTCAGTTTTACCCTTCTTATCATTAAACTGATATTGTATGGTTGTTTTTCTTTTCTTGCGGGTGGTTAGAGGGCATCACAGTAAGGTGTGTTTCTGCCTGTCTTGCTTTTTCCCTGCACTATAGGACCGTTGTAGTGTCTATGCGCTTTTCTTTACCCATACTCGAGCACTTCTTTTCTCACACACTAAACTAAAGACACTTTGATTCATCCATTATGTGTTTGTAGCAGCGAGTTTGTGTACTTTATATTTTAAATGACAGGCGGTCAGGTATTGACATTTGTTGATTTCCACTATTTATCGACGTTTTCACATTCCGCGTCTTAGTGCCTTCCGGTGCAGTTTGTCTGAATGGAAAGGGGCAGAAATAAGCATAAGACTGCCGCCATTTTTGTGATATGTCAAGCATGGTCCTTTTCGCTATTATCTAAATTTTGTCAATGGGGGTATGTTTTTTAGTTTCTGTTTTGCTACATTTTTACTGTTCTGAATACTCTGATGTAAGTTTCGGATTTTATTAAGGAAGGGTCGTGTGTTATTGAAGGTAAGCAAAAAAAAATGGTGCTTTCTCTTTAGAAGAGGCAAGTTCAAATTCCAGTGAGTTTTTTTTACAGTGTTTACCTTTTTTTTTTACTCCTTTAATTTAAATATTTGGTAATGTTTTCTTTTGTTCTTCTGTGTGCTTTTTTCCTCTGTAGAGTTTTTTGCTTTTGTTATAAAATGAATTTTTGCTTTTCCACGTGGCACTTATGGTGTAGTGTCATGAAAATTATCAACACTTCTCAGTTGTATTGTGATTATTGTTATTATGCTTGTCTTAAGATTTGCCTCTTTGGCTTCCTTTTTTTAAAGGCGAACTGGCATCTTTTGTGTAGCGGCTAGGCACTTTGCTGTCGCATGCAAGATACCCAATTTCACTTCCAGAATTTTTATCAAGTATCTCGGTCTCTCTGTAGGGATGTGGTTTCCCTTACAGCCCGGGGTGGCTCTGATAGGCAGGGATAGAACCCATCCCCTATTTGATCTAAATTGTGTCAATAGGGGCGTTTAAAAAATCTGTATTTAAAAAGAAATTGATTTTTTAAATAATTAAGTTGGGACAGGCGTTTTAGCTTTTGATTATTATATATTTTATTCAGATTTATGGTAAAAGTTGTTTTTTGGTAATGAATATCTGTCAAATTTAGGCAGGCGAAAGAAAAAGGTCTCATGATGCCTTATCTGTGGAGTCACCAAAATTCATGGTGTGGTTCGTGTCCTATGCAAAACTTTAATAGAGAAAATATCAGGGACCAAGGATACATGTCTTGTCTTTTTTCGTCATGGCTTTTCCAGTGTACAACACAAAACTGGGAACTCATTGAATCTCATCTTGTATTTCTGCAATGTGTTACTTTTGAGTGATGACAACTTTTCTAATGTGTTGAGAGTTTGTTTGTTTTTCCTTGGGATACACACACGTATATTTATCTAATGTGTTGAAAGTGGGTTGTTGTTGTTGTTCTTGGTTTTTTTCTTTTGAGGGGACGGGGGGGCCATGACAATTTTCTAAAATGTCTTTTGGAAGATTTGGGGTTGTTTTCTTGTTGTAGACATGAACGCCTGCCTTATGTACTGCCCGGAGATGTTTCGTGTAACATTCTTTATTTTCAAAATAGCCACTTTTGTCAACATTTTATATTTTGTAAGAAGGAAAATAAATGCAAAAAGTAGAACAAAGCTCTCTGGGTATTTCAAGCAGTATTGAGATGTTCTAAAGCGAAAATCAATGTTAAAATATTTTCAGTTTTTTTTTTAGGTCCCTTTGGTTTTTCAGAGTACTTAAATATTCCACTTTCCTGCCAAGACTAAATCAATGGAGGGCTTGCATGGTAATTTATTATTGTTGATGTTTCAACTATGCTGTGCGTTCAATCAAGTAATCTTAATTATGTTATGGTTAAACGAGTTAAACTGATTTATGATGATTATCATCCTGTAATCATTTTTTTTCTTGGTTTCAGCTGTCATAGGTGGTTGGCGGGTGTTATTTTGTGGTTTGCTCCTTCTTTCCTATCAAACATCTGTCAACCTTACCTCTCCTTCTTTTCTACGTATGTTGCTCTAGTAACACCTACTCTAATCTTTGGTACTTATATGACTCATTTGTGTTGCAAGTGCCGAGAGACTTACGAAAACATTAAAAATAAATATGTATCTATTACTTTAAGCTCATAAGTGTTGTTATATCCCTCCGTGTTTGGTGTGGGTAAGAAACAGATTTTTGTCACGGGTGGTTGGAGGGTGCCACTGGTAGGTCTTACTTCTCTTCTTCCCTTCTGCTGTTTCAGTCTATCTGTCTTGCTTCTTCCCTGCTCCGTATGACAGTAATTGTGTCGATGTGCATCTCTTTACGCGAACTCGAACGATTTTCACAAGTTGTATCGTTATGGCTATTTAGCTGCTCAAAATGTAATGCTTTACTTATGTGTTGAGTTCCCTTTCTATATATTCAAATTGTTGAAACAAACTGTTACATTTTATGTTGTATAATGGGTTTTTTGGTCGTTCTTTCCTTGGTGCTGTTTTTGGTTTTTTTCGGTATGTTTTTTTTTAAAAACGTGTTTGATATAACATAAGCTTCTTTCAAGTAAATGTAGCCTAGTAATTTGTATTGTGTTACTCATTGTTTTTCCATCAGTCTGACTGGCTAGGCTGAATCTCTTGGCTTTTCTGAATGTTGTTTGTGAATTTGTTCTCAGCTGATATGGTGTTCTTGTCAAAAGTGGTATATTTTAAGGGTGATTTTTCAGTTATTTTTGTTGTTGAGTTCTTATTGGTTCGACATGCTTTCTCTGCTTTGGCTCTTTTTTTTGTTGCTCTTGTTAAGGGTGACTTCGAATTACAGTGAAGTCGGCTGAAACCAAACACGATTTTAACGCTTTGCCCCCACTGTGCGCCGATCAGTGACTGTAAGAAGCCATCCCTTTTCCCCTCGAAAATCGTCGCCAGTGTGATATAGCGTGTACCGCACCTGTATTCTGGTCCGTGCGGATAAATGTTGCCCGCTCTGCATGCTGCGTGGGTGGAAAGTGTTAATCTTAAAACAACGGTAAACCTAAAGAAAATAAAATCCCCAACACCCCCCCACTTCGCTATTTGAGCTATCTCTTTAAACTGAAAACACGGATTAACCGAAGAAGATCCGATGTTCCCTCAATTTCGATTTGAGCAGACTCCACTGTGTTTATTGCATAAGCTTCATGTAGGTTACTGGACAGGAGATCAACTCTGGGTGTTATTATTAGTTTGTTTTTGTTTTGTTTTTTATGATAACATGAAGTGCTGTTACTATAGGGTCATTATTAACTGTATCTTGTATTGCCATGTAAGTGTTTGAAGCATTCAACCGTATAATTTTAATTTCCATTATGATATCGTCAGTGTTTTTCCACTTCCACCATCGCCCGAATCAGTCTCTGGAGGGTTCCAGATAAAATATAGTCGTTCTTCAAATAAAGACATCAAGAGATATCTTACAATGTAGCTTCCTACTGTTTCGTTATTTGTCACAAAAGTTTATATTTTGAAAATAACAAGTGTTGTTCTGATTTGGGTGCTTTTTTTGTTAATTATTTTTTATTTTTTCAAATTCCAAGCTTTAACAAAAAAGTGATGGGTGGTTGGCGGGTGCTCTGGTCTGGTTTACTTTTTCTTTCATGTCAAATTCAAACATTTGTCATCGTTATTTCTCCTCTTTTTTTGGGGTATTTGCCACTGTCTTGTAACACCTCTAATCTCTTGACACTTATATGACCTAATTGTGTTGCTAGTGCTGTAAAACGTCTTACTAAAACAAATAGAAAAAAAAGTGACTTAAGTGCTTGTGGGAAGACACTGACAATATGATTATGATGTTCCTGTATTTGTTATATATATATATATAATATATAGAAGTGAACATGTTTGTGACTGCTACATACTGCATATTCGTTGTTTGTTGTTGATTCCTTTGACAGGTACTTTCGTCCTGTGTTTGAATTTGTCTAGTTTTGCAGGTATTAGGGAAGGGAGATATATGTTCGCAAAAAAACTTGTGGGTTGTTGGCGGGTGCTCTTGTCTTATGTGGTTTGCTCCTTCTTTTCTATTCTATCCAACATCAATCATCTTTTATTTCTTCTCTCTGTATGTCACTCTTTAGGGACACCTGTAATCTTCAGCACTTCTATGACCTTTTTGTTATACAAGTACTATAAAACTCGCTCTAAAACTAAACAACAACCCCCCCCCTTTACAAAACAGCTAATAAACTCGTACTTGTAATGGAATTCAGAATATCTCTAGTGCTTGTGTTGGCTTCAACCTGTCCTTTTTTTTTGCTTTGATATTTGTGTTGATGAAGCTTGAGAAAGATATATCTTGTGGGTTTGTTTACAGTGAGTAACTGCATGAACTTTTCTCTTGTTAAGTGTAGAAAGTAGGCTTGGTTATGGTAGCATTATAGGATTTTTATATAATTATGTCATGTTCTGAAATGAGTTTAAATTCTTCTCTCCTTCCCCCTCCCTTTCCCCATTTCCCCCCACCATGTGATCATGGCCTCAATGATGTATGTTTTATTCCTTTTTCGGGGATATTGATTAGTGCATATGACGGAATTTAAGTCTTTATTAAAAAAAATATTTTTGTAGTTACAGCTTTGTTATAGGTCATGAACATATCCCTAGACTTGATTTTTTTTTTTTACATTTCTTTTCCTCCTCGTTTTTCTTTGTTGTTGTGTTGTTGTTGTTTTTTATTAGGTTTTTATTATTATTATTGTTTTTACATTTTTATTTTTATTTTTATAAATTTATTTATTCTTTTTTTTTGGGGGGGGGGGGGGGGGGGGACTGTAAGACAAATTCCGGATCAAGGTTATTTCAAGAAGTTACTGCCTGATTATGTTTGTCCAAACAATCTGATGTCAGCTTATTTCTCATTTCTTTGTTGATTCAGCCCTAGATAAAACTAGACTGGGTTGGAGGTCCTTTTGATTTTTATTTTTAAAAATAATAATTTTTTTCAAAGTTAATTTTATCTGCCTCTCCTTTGATTTGTCTTAAGATGACTTGATCTCTTCTTTTTTCTCATCTGTCTACAATTTCAAGCCAAATTTTTTGCGGGATGTCTGTGGACATTGTGTTCTGTTGAATAAGTTCCTCCTTTAATTAAACTCCATAAAAATGAAAAACAGTAGTTTTACCTTCTTTCCCCCCCCAGCCCCTTTGCAGTAGGCTACTAAAGAGGATTTTTGTATTGTTCAGTTAATTACAGCATAATTCTTATAAGTTCTAATGTAACAGCTTATGAATTTGTCACTGCTCAGCAGGAGCAAAAGAAGTATATGGAGTGTTTGAAAAAACTATGTACGTCTTTCAGTAAGTTTTAATTACACTAATCTTTATCTCATCAGCTGACATTGGAATCTAATATTCATATACATATATAAATTTATATTATAACAGGTATATAATATATGATATAATAATTTTTTGAGACCACATACTCCCTATGCTAATGCTATGCTCTTGTGTGAT